CCATTCACAACAACACACGGGCAGACTCTGAGGATGTGGCTCGTCTGGAAGGCTTACAACCACTGCTTCAATTTTCCCTTCTCCAAATAAAAATCAATGGCAACAGAGAGGTAAAATCAATGTCTTGCGCTCTGTAAGAAAAACCCCCCTCCTCCCATCTCTGGCCCACCCAGACAATAAATCAGACCTGGCAGCGAATCCCCGAGAGCAGAACCCTCTGCAGGTTGTATGACTTTCTGTCCACCCCTCTGTCCCTTATGAAGGTATTTTCTTTAAGAAGATCTAAGAGAATCTCTTAAAAAAGAAAAAAAAAAAGCAAACCTAAGTTAGTAAGGATAACACATGGCTGTGTTAAAAGCTCTTCTTCCCCAAACGAACCCATCTGCCAGTGGGATCTTTGGCCTCGAAGGCCAGAGTTGGCCTTAACTGCCTCCCGAAGGACCCGCTTTCCGCTATCAAGCCCTGGAGAACGCTCTTGGAGAATGAATGCTCAGGTCCTCATGGACCTGCTCCCCCGTGCTAGGCGTCCTGCCACGTAGACTGGCCCGCACTCCCTGGGACTTCTCGTACTTGTGTGCTCAGCCTGCCCATCGTGAAACTCATTCACGCTGCCGCCTGCGCTGATAGCCCGTTTCTCCTCGTTGCTGAGTGGCACCCATTACCACGGACAGGCCGCAGCTGGTGTCTCCACGCACCAGCTGATGGACAGGTGGGTGCTTTCCAGCTCTCTCCACGGCAAATACAGCTGCTGCAAGCACCTGTGGGTGAGTCTCTGCACGGCCCCGCACTTTCACTGCACATTGTCCCAGGCGCACACCTTTCGTTGGACACACGTTTTGCAAATACTTTCTCCCAGTGTGGCCTGTCTTTTTATTTTCACAGCGGTATCTTTTGAAAATCAAAGTTTTTAATTTGCATGATACCCCATTTTGTTGATTTTCTCTTTATCTTGGCACATTTATAGTTCATGGTCTTTTTTTTGTCTTATTTAAGAAATCTTTGTCAAATCCAAGGTTAGTACTGTTATTTTCTTCTAAAAGTTTTATAGTTTTGGCTCTTATATTTAGGTCTATGATCCACTTCAAGTTATTTTTTGTATAGTATATCACACAATCATTAAAATTTGTGACGATATGCACACACATACATAATGAAGAGTTTGTAGAAACTCTACAATAAAAATACTCATTTATAAATACTAACCAAAGACAGCCCAATGCAAATTTTTATACACAATATGGGTGCCACTTCATGACCAAATTTTGACAGAAACAAACCCATGAACAAAACCTTTGACTAGAAGGATGGAAGGAAATACACTGCAATGTTTTGATTCCTATTTTAAGATGATATGATCACTGCCTATTTCTGGTTTCTTTTTACTTTTCTACGTTTTATGTAACAAGCATCATCTATTGCTGTAAAAAAAGTAAATTGCAATATTGTAAAAAAGTCATCTACGAGATAGCTTCTTGATTCCAAGCTGCCTTCATGATGCTCTTAATGCATAAGTGGCCCCTTAGGAGAACCAGACAGGTGAACGCGCTGCCAGGCTGAGCTTAACGGCAGGGAGAGATGAAATAAAGAACTTCCACAGAAAATTCTCCAAAGAGAACGTGAGGTTAGCCAAAGCCTCTAGGAAAAAAAAAACAGATACAAACCCAACCACCACCCAAGGAAGGAAAGAATGCCAGCAGAGGAAAGGCCAGTTGTCCTGCACGCCCCACCCCCGAAATTGCTCGCCCCGAACTCTGCAGTCACACACTCTACTCACTCACTCTCCACCAGCGAGGAAAGCTAATGAAATTCTCCTGCCAATGTGCTCACTGTCCTTCTATCTCAATCTGCTTGCAAAGACAGCCCGAGTCTGCAGCCTCAATCAGCCCGAGGCTGGCCCAGCCGCCTCTGCATGTGTGTGCCCTCCTGCCCGTCTGGCGGGCGGGATTTGCCTCTTGAGCTGCTGCAGTGGCCAGACTGGCTGATGGAATTGCCTACAGATGTTTCACAGAGAGAAAGATTACTTCCCTGATTGATGAATATGGAGAGTTGTCAACACGGTCTCCCTGGTCAGAGGGGACCCCTGAAGTATAATGTGGAAAGACAGATGTTTCATCTGGGAAGGTGTCCAAGACCCTACGAAGAGGTATGCATTTGGCTGACATGGTGGACCGGGAAACTCAGGCTCTGAGAGGGAGAGGCGGGAGGCTGGACCCATGGCCGCAGCCAGTGCCGTGGCAGGGCCCCCCCACCCTGAGGAGGGAGAGGCATGCCTCCTCAAGGGGCCTCTCCTTTGGGCTGTTTTTCCAGTGAACAAACATACACCATTGTCAGAAATGCAGTCGTCTTCTTCGTCCTCAGGTGTGAATCAGAAAAGAGTGGCAGAGGCGGCACCAGAGCCCCCACCTCAGCCTCCCAGGCTGCCCTGAGGGGGCTGCAACATGGGGAGTGGTCAGACTGGGAAGGGGGCGAGGCACCTGTGGTGAGCTCTTTGTTTTCAGGAGCATGCACCTTTGGGGCTTTCTGGCTGACCTTCTGGAATGAATCAGACAATAATGACAACAATTATCATAGCTGTTTTAGTAATTGGAAGACAGCTGTCATTATGTAACCCTAATTTATGCACTTTATATACCTTTTTTATTGGACTCTTACACAAACACATACACCAAATGCCTTATGCACGGATTGTTAAATTTTACTACCCGTAAATGCTCTCTGTGAGAATTACTGGCAGATGTATTCCAGCAAACAGAAAAGAGGAACGGGGTAAATGTTTTCACGAAACCCATTTTACAGACGAGGAAGTGCAGACTCAGAATGGTAAAGTAGCAAGCCAAGGTCTCGTGGCCTGGAAGCACGCAGCCCCAGAATGGAGCCCCAATTGGTCTCCCTCCCAAATCCACGCTGCAGCCACTGCGAAGCCGCCGTCACCAGCAGATGGGGAGATGAGGGTTACACTCTCAACACGAGAAAAATGTGCTGGTGCCTCCAGCACAGAAACTCGGCGTGCCCAGGGAATCACTACTGACACCTGGGTATGCCGAGTGCCGACGACGACGCTGCTGCCTCCGCCGTGGACAGATTTGAGCGTCACGCTGAAAATCTCTTATCTGGCATTTCCAGAAAGGTCTGCGTTTCAGGAGTAAACAGGCCGAGGACTGTCCACATCACACACACGGACACAAACACACACACACACACACACAAATGAAGACAACCACACGGCTGAACACCGCTGAGCCCCTTCCCCTAGGGCGGCTGGGGGCTTGCAGCAAAGGAGGCAGCCGTTCCTCCTTCAGAGAAGGAGGGGATCAGGGGTGGCAGGGGACCTGAGGGCAGTTTCCTCAGAGCAGGTATGCCTTAAAAGGAGTTTTAACACCAAAAAACCATTTTTAGCATCCCATTCCACAGTGAACTTGACTTTCCTTGAGGGTGGGAGCAGCGTCTCTTGTTTGCCTCTAGCTCAGCCCCTCAGACAGGAGGTACTCAACGCCCATCTGCTGGGGGACAACGTTGGAGCAGACAGAGCAGGCCCGGGCGGACGAGGAGGCCAGCACACGGCGGTGATAAAAGCCACACGTGTCCGAACTGGGCAGCAGTGGGTGTGACTCACGGCTGCCACAAATCGCTAACGCTGCTCTCTGCCTCATTTTTAGTGTAGAGAAGAAAAATAAACACCAACTTGACAAGACGGCCAGGAGACTTCACGGATGTGGGTGCTGAGCACAATGCCGGGCCATGCTAGGGCTGTGGGCGCAAGAGCGACCCTCGCTTCCAGGGAGAATGCTGCTGCCTGGACGGGCAGCGCAGCAGATCAGCGGCTCCCTGGCTCAGGAGAGCTCAGAGGCCAGGTCTATTGCTGCAGGCACCGTGCGTGCGGAGGCAGAGGGGGCCCGCTACCACAGCTGCTGGACCAGACTCTCAGAGCATGAGCGCCTCAGGCACCATCAGACACAACCAGGTCAGGGACGGAGGGACCATAAAACCTATTCCAAGAAGGGCTGTCAAAGGGACCAGCACTGCTGAGACTTCAGGAACTAAGGGATGAGACAGAATGCATTCTGTGCGGTTCTAGGGTCAAACTGGAACCAAGGAGCCAAAGTTACAGGGAGGCAGACTTCAGTGGGAATCAGGAAAGGTTGCCTTCTTTGCCTAAGGTTGTGGAGCAGTGCCGTCATGGCAGAGGAAGTTGTTGAATCCAGAACCGTGTCCTAACCCCAACGCCCCGCCGCTGCACCTGTCCGCGGTCCAGGAAGGACCAGAAGAGGCCACAGGCACTGCAGTCACCTCCCACCACCCCCCAGCCAGCCCCACGCTCAAAGAAAGCCTGTCTTTCGTGTTTTTGTGTCTTGTTCCTTCTTGTTTGAGTGTTTCTGCAGGACTGAAGGCAGAAGTAGCCTCAAATCAAAGGCTCTTTCTGTCATTTGTAAAAGCCTGAGGCCACTGGCTGGATGATGGTGGGCGTGGGTGTGGGGACGAGGCAAAGGCTTTAAGCTGGGGAAGAGAGACTATCAGAGCAAGGCTCCTTCTCAGCAAGAATGGTGGTGTGCTGGTCCGGAGGTGGCAGGACCCCAGCCCGGGCACCCAGCCAGGCAAAGAGGCCCATATCCCGCACGGGCACCCCTGGACCTCAGCCGACCCCAAAGGATCCCTGTGGCCAGCAGGTGAGCAGCAAGCAGGAGACCCACCGCTCAGTCCCTGTCTTCTTAGCTCTGTCTGTGCTTCCTGGCTCCTGGGGCCGTTCTGCGCAGAGGCACCGTGCCAGCAATGACCAAGAGAGGAATCTCTGGTCCTCTGCTCAGAGGAGGGCTCCGAGCCAAATCAGGTTGATTGGAAGGAAATAAAGATACTGACATTCTTTGCAAATCTGTGTCTGAGAACCACAAAAGGAGCGCAGAAACCAAACACCACATCAACCATGGCCCCACACCTGCTCTGCCTCTTCCCTGGAGGCGCCAGCCAGCCTGAGGGGAGGGCTCCGCCCCCAGCCTCCACCTTACCTGGGGAGCAGGTGCTTGCGGCTGACACACAGGGCCGTCTGGTAGTCCTGGGTCACACACACCTTGTGAGGGCTGCACTTCACCTTCAGGCAGGGGTCTTTGGATGGGTCCAGGGCTGAAGCAAAAAAGAACAAAGACAGGGTGGTTAGGGCCTCAGGGAAAATTTAATGTCTATTTCTACTCAACTAGGTAAGGGGGAAGTAAACAGACCATGTGTTCGCACTCTGTGCTGTTTTCTTAAGTGGGAGGATATTAGAAAGAAACAACCTGAACCAGGGGGAGTTCGGTGTCTCCTGCTCGTTTTCCTTCACATCAAGGTAGTGATTCCTTTGTGCCGTGGGGAGTTGCGGCATCTCCGTCTCCAGCAGGAATTACTTTTAAAATCCTTTAGAATCTTCCACGCTCCAAAGACCAGGAGCTTCTTTCTCCTCTTTGGTCCTTTGTCTGCTATTGCTTTTTACGACTTCATCCATGCCTAATTTTACCTATTTTCTATAACATAAAAAGTCCTTGAGGACAGGGTTTTTTCTTTTTTTTTTTTTCTGCTTCAGTTCAGTCCACATGGACAAAGTGCATAAATAAGCCTAGTTTAAGTTCTGTGAAGAACGTCCAGATGCATGAAACTGTTCCGTGCCCCACAAAGTTACAACACAACGGGGAGGGAGAAGCTCGCCCATAAATATGCATGGGGCGCAGGAGGATTAGATAAACGCCAAGACGGGCCTGTAAAGTGATGGCAGAGCTGGGGAGAAACACAGAGATCAATTTCTGGGGCAAGGATTAATGAGGCATTAATATGTGAATTGGATTTTGAAGGATGGGCAGGATTTTAAAAAGCCGGGAGAGAAAAGGCACCCGTCCCAGCGGCCAGCACAGGCCAACGACGGGAGGGGCATGTGGGCAACTGTAAGATGTTGCATCCGACCAGTCCGTGCGGTCCCTGCACGGGAATACTGAGGCCGGGGAACAGCTGCTCCCACAGAGTCGCCGCAGGAAGGCTCTGCGAGGACAGCAGTTCCTACGTCACAGCATTGCCTAGAACAGGCAGAGCGGAGGCCCTCAGCTCCTCCCCACTCTGTATGCCAGGCTGGCAGTCCTCCCCAAGGCTGAGCAGCGAGGTGGGCAGTCTCTGCAAAACAAGAGTGACTGTGCCACCCCCCCCCCCACCCCAGGGCCCAAAGCCTGGGGGACTGCAGGTCTTCCCTAACTGCTCTCCGCGACAGGCCAGGGAGATGTTCCCCCATGTCCTCTCCATGCAAACCTGTAGTTAAACCAGTCAGCATCCAGAGCATAACAGTGGGGAGAAAGCCACCTTCCCCTTCCCAGTGGGGCCCTCACCACCGTGACCCCCTGCACTTAGACGAGTCATTATTCCAGAACGAGCCCGCTCAGGCCCAGACTCTCAACACCGTTTTCTCCAGACAGCTACTGGGAATGTCCCAGGGGACCTGAACACGAACACCCCAAGGCATTCCTGAGCTTGCCCAACTCAGGGTGGTCCCCTCTGCTGCAGCAGCTTCAGCGCTGTAAACAGAAACCAGGTGCATCTCGGGCCAGTCAGGCCAGCAGTGAGACCAGGTCCTGGTCGGTCCCAGGGAAGCCTGCTTCTGGAGGAACCTGCTGGAGCTCAGCAGGAGGAAATGGGTTGCAAGATAAAGAGAGGCTGATTCGAGCCCCGGGGACACAGGGTCCACTCTGCACTTTTGAGCGGAGGGCAGCCTCTTGTACTCTGGGTCTGCCCTCGGAGTGCCCCTCGGCTGGGCCCTCCGGAAACCTGCACTAGGAACTTCCTGGCCCCAGGTGGGACGCTCTCGGTCCCAGGGACTTCCACACAAGAAGCCAAGACGCTGGTGTGTCTCAGTCCAGTGGTCTACCTGTCCTTGTACACTGTCCTCCACCCCAACCCAGATGGCCATCCAACCAACTTTATTGTCCAAGACTCCTGCGAATTTGAGCCAACAATGAAGACTGATTACCAGATGACAATTAATAATGGCCATGCGAGTCCTCTGCTGCCCCTTCTCACACTTTCTACCGCCACAGGATGAAGTAAGACACTTACAGATCTCAAAAAACTTGGGCACAGGTCACGGGCAGCCCTGGCCCCAGGCAAGAGCTAGGGTGTTTCCCCAGCAGGTGCCATAGAGCCCTCAGGATTTTCCCTGGAGAGGAGCTCAGCAATAGAGACTGACAGGCTGGCCCAGTGTGCTGGGCGCTGAAATCGGCAGTACCGCACAACAGGCTTCAGGGCCAAATTCGAGCTTCATTTGCCCTCTGTAGCCAACTCCACAAACATGCAATGTCCACACCATGAGCTGGGGAGCCTTAAAGGGCAGTGTGGTCTCCAGGCAAAGAAGTCGGCTGACCACAGGAGGGAGGAACAGACTCTCTGCCTAGTGGTCCCGAGTCTGAATGCTGGCTCTGCGCTCACCGACCTCTCCGTACCTTGACTGCCTCTTCTGTTAAAGCAGGTAATAAGAGTACCTACCACTGCTTTTGGTTGTCAGGAGGATTAAATGAGTTAATATTTCTAAGTGCTTAGAACGGATCTCTTAGGTGTTTGTTAATTTTTTTTGTGTCTGTATTTTGTTCCCAGAGTGAATAATAATCCTTCATAATAACAAGAACAGTCGCTAACACTTACCCTGTGCTTCGGACGCATAGTCAGTGAACTAAGCCCACTAGTGGGATTACCATACTCAATGCTCCAACACCCGAGGAGACTGCTGGCCTTAATGTGCCCACTTTACAAGTAAAGGTCTTAAAGCGAAGTCCCTGGTGAGAGGTGCAGAGGGCAGTGGACACCTGCTGGGTGACTCCAGAACCCCATCTCCCTCCCACCACAGCCAGCAGCTGAGATGCACCTAGGATCTCCTTTGAAAGGTGGGTTGTGGACCCACCTCACAGCACCACCCAGCTGCACAGTGCTGCAGGGAGGCCTTCCGGGCAGAATGAGTCTTGCTAGGTAACAGTCAGGGGCAGCCAGGGCACCCAGTACTGCCCAGGCTGGGCCATGCAGAACTGCCCCAGTGCTCCCCAGAAGGTGGGGTGCCCAGCCGTGGGCAAGTGTGCCCTCCGCCTACTCCCTCTGACTGCAGCCACCCCCCAGCTGAGTCAACTGACCGGTGGTCTGGTCAATTTTCAGCCTGCAACCTTGCCATCTGCCACCCTATTGTTAGGCTAACGCCATAGGTTACCCCTCTTCCAACGCTTGAAGCTGACATTACTAAGCAAAAAACTCCAACCAAAAACGCTAACAAATAAAAATCATCCATTATTTAACTCCCTATGCATACTTCCTTAACAATTTGCATATAAAAATCAAGTGGACTAAAAATTAATTACCAGGAACTGAATACTTCAAACATGTATGCAAGTTATTTAAATGAACTTCACAGAACAACAGAACAGTAACAAATCAAGCTGTCAGCGCTTATTCAATCACCAGGATTCCTCTTGTTTTTTAAAAACAGTTGGAATTAAAAGGGGATGTGAATGGCAAAAGAAGTGTGTCGTTTCCATTCAAATGCAGCCTCTAAAGGAGCTTTTCTGGGGTCCCCAAGGCTCAGGTGACACTCCCGAAAGGTGACCCTCATGAGAGGCATCCAGCACCTGTTTTGGACAGGGTCACATGGCTCCACTTTCTAAAGGGAATGAATGATAAGACACTGCAATAGTAAGTGGCATTCAAGAGGCTCTTTACTCAAGTGCAGTGAAACTGTGGAGGTAAGGAGGGGAGGGGAGCAGGTGAGCTGAGTGTGAGTGGTAACCCCAACCAGGGTTAGATGCTTCTCCGCCAGGTGCTAACAATTCCTGGAGACTGCACCCCAAGTTGTTCTGAGCACGAGCTTGGGGTGAGGATGCAGCAGTCCCCACAAGGTGGCCAAGCCCGTGTCCCCTACACCTCCTCTGTCTCCGTACCTGCAGGGTAACATGCCTGGCACAGAGCAGGTACCCACAGGGGGTTAACTTCACCTTTCCTGCCCGCACAGAAAAAAAATCAAGTGTTAACTGACGCATAATATATGTCCAATTAATTTTTCACTTATTTTTACAAAAACTTTTTTCAAAGAAAAAAAACAAGAATAAATTAATTTAAAGAGTGATATATTGAGCTGGAAAACACTAAATTCAAAATCCTGTTAATTACAGGCTATGTGTAATTTTTTTAATTAATTTTATTTTCTAAGCTCACTGCTTGATCTCAATTAAGGTAGTGATATTTCAATTATCTTAATTGTTTCCAAACTTGTCGTCAGTTCGATTCATTTTTTAATTGGCTACATTGCTTTCAAAATCCAGACCAAGCCTCTCTCTGCCCGTGGGCACAACGAAGTGCTCAGAGGCAAAGGGTCACAACTGCGGCAACAGCCGGGCGGGCTGCCACCTCCGAGAGCTGGGATGAGAGGACGCTCCATTTGGTGGGCTGCCCAAAGGGCAGTCCCCTGGGCGTCCCCTCAGTCCCCTGAGAGTCCCCTGAGGAAGCGACACAGGCTTGTGTTTATTCCATTAGTATTTGCAGAGCATCGTCCCGGGCAGGCCCGTGTTTGCAGGCCGGAGGCCAGCAGCTCCGGAGTGAAGGAGACAACGTTCCTGCCCTCCCGGAGCCCGCAGCTCCACAGAGGGGGCAGGCAGTGGGAGGGCGAGTCCTGCACGTTACGGGGGCAAGGGAGCTACCTCACCCAGTCCTCCCGGGGGGGACGGGGGAGACTTCCTGGAGAGACTGACATCTATGAAAAAATGGGTTGAAGCCACACACCAGATTGAGGAAGAACCTTCCAGATAAAAAGAAGCACCCTTTGCAAACGTGAGAGAAATCACAGTAAATTTGGGGACTGCAGCATTTCCTGGGGCTAGAACAGGCGGGGAGGGAAGTGAGAGGACTGGAGAGGGGGAGGTGGCATCATGGAGGGCCTTACAAACCAAGCGAGGGGGGCGTGGCTTCCACGTTCCCCAGTGACGACAAACTTCATAGAGCTGGAAAGGGGGTCTTCAGCACACCCTCTTATGCTGATCTCCGGGGGCCTCTGCTCCGTGGTAGACGGAGGAGGAAGAGAGAACCCTTCATACATATTTTATGTGAAGGCGGCACTTCAATTAAGAATAGACATGCTG